ACCCTGGAGCTCGATGGCGATCCGTGTAGCAGGTGCACTGATAAAGGGCAGTATTGTTTTAAGAAAAGTAACCGCATGAGGAATTGTTTCACAATTGTGATCCATAGACACTGAACCAGCAGGGTCTGTTTGGCAAAAGGGTCCAGTCAGTTTGCACACTGGGAACAGAGCTGGCATAAGATAAAAGACACCAGCTTAGGAGTAGCGGCATTTGGTTTGTGGTATTAGGCATTCCCTTACCACTCTGTGTGACCTTGACAAGACCCTGAAATTCTGTAGGGCTGTGAAGTGATGGTCACAGTAGCTGTCTGCTCTGCAGGGTAGGGCTGTAGTCTGGCACTTAGCTGTAATCTACGGTTTAAAGTCCTGGCTCTATGGTTAAGAGAGCCTATCCTGTATTTCAGCTCTTCCTCCTAATGCTGTGTGACTAGGTCAAGTTACTAAACTTTCCTGAGCTTTAGTTTATCTTTAGCTGTGAATAATATACTTATTTCATAAGGTTTCTGGCTAATATTAGATAGCTGATGTCAAAGAGGTAATTCTCATAGTATTATCTAAATACAAGGCCAATCATAACTAGTAGCATATGATTATATGCTATAATTAATTAGCAACAAGAATAATTATAATCATTAAACTTCTTTTTGGAAACACTGGTAATAGTGCCAGTAACAACAGCACTGACTATTTATTGAGCACTTGTTTTTTCCCCCCATACACTATTCTAAGAGCTTTGCTTATGTTAGCAAATTTAATTCACACAAAACCTCTGTAAATTAGGTATCTAATTACCCCCATTTTTATAGAGAAAGATGCTATGGTTCATAGAGGCTCAAGGTCTCACAGTCAGTAAGTGGCAGAGGGAGATGTTCTGTCCCAGGCCAGAGTCTTATTTTTTTAAAATAAATATATTTTTATTGATTTCAGAGAGGAAGGGAGAGGGAGAGAGAGATAGAAACATAATGATGAGAGAGAATCATTGATCAGCTGCCTCCTGCACGCCCCCTACTGGGGATTGAGCCCACAACTGGGGCATATGCCCTTGACCAGAATCGAACCCAGGACCCTTCAGTCTGTAGGCAGATGCTCTATCCACTGGGAAAAACCGGCTAGGGTGGGCCAGAGGCTTTTGACCTACCCTCTGTCCTCAAGTTAAATGTTCTTGTCACCTGCCCCTTGGTGCTGTAGCCTCTCTGTACTCCCGGTTGTGTAGAGGCTACAGGGACTGTGGTTGGTAATTCTTTCCAGCCCTCACCAACAAGTCCTTTGCATGGAAATTAACACAGCACAGACAGGATAAGAAGCCCTAGAGGCACTTCGATTTCCCTCCTGATTTTTTCTTCCACAGTGACAGTTTTTATTTAAATGTTAATTTCATTGAAAGGATAGTGCCATCATTTGACTTTAAAGAAAGAATTTGCATTTGTACTGATTATTGATTTGAAAAACATAAAGTGGACGGGCACTGAGTTCTCTGAGGCGTTGTTGCATTGTGAAGTCTGTGGAGGCAGGAGCTGAGCCCTCTGGTTTGACACATAATGCAGGTTCTGGAAATGTTGAAAAGAGGGGTTGAAGCTGCTTCTTAGGTCTTGGAAGAAAAACGGACAAGATTGCCATCTAGCGGACTCTGAGTCAACTTCAGCTCAAAAAATTAGCCGTGTTTTAGTAAAACTTACCTGAAATGGAAAGTAACACTAATGGGTAGTTTATTTAAATATACAACGGAGGAATACACCTCAGGTCAGACTAGTACTCAAGCTGAATGCTGCCTCAGACAACATCAGAAGACTAGGGAGATTCTAAGGGTAGGGTGTTGGCACTAAGAGAATCTGAGATTATCATCGCCCTCCTTTTACAGCCCAGGGAAGGAAATCGACTCATTTAGGATCACACAGGTGTGATGACTTGTATGCAGGCCTCCCCTGTTTAAGTCTGGTGCTCAGACTTTTATCTTGTGTAGAGAGCAGGACAGTGTCCTTCATAACATTCAGCAACAAGGAAAGGAATCATCCCAAATTGTACAAATTGTCCCGATGACCCACTATAGACTCATAGCTACAGAAGATGGATAGCGAACGTGCTCAGTTTTCCAGCTCTTTTGGACAGGTACATGGGAAACACTACCTACAGCGTGGTATCGCAACACACCATTATCTCACTGAGGGGTCGGAAGCATCTCTCTGTATTTGCTGTTTAGGGATTTGCAAAGTATACACACCTGAAGAAATTTTATGGGATTCTGTATGATTTTGTTACTTTTACTCTATCCCCATTCATCTATTAATTCTTTCCTTTGTGCCTATGTTTTTCATACAGAAAAATTGGAGGGGAGAAGAATTATAAAGAAACTAGTGGCCTGGTGCATGAAATACATGCACATTAAAAGGGAATTAATTAGAGGAAATATTTTAATATTGCTATTTGCCCTTTCTCTGTAGTAGAAGTGTCAGAGAGGAAAGAAAATTAGTAAAATGTATATGAAAATCTTCCTCCTGTCAGCATCTGGGGCACGCCATGGGACCGAGTCAAGTCCCCATCCACCTGCGTGCACCTCAAAATCACGTGAGACCCAGACTTGGCCAGCCCCACTCCTGTCAAGCCCTGCTGGGCAGGGGGCACAGCCTCAGGTGTCCCAGCCCAGAGCCAGGCAGGGGGTGCAGCCCCAGGTACCCTGTCAAGCCCTGCTTAGTGGGAGGCGCAGCCTCAGGTCCCCCAACCCGGCGCCAGGGCGGGGGCAGGGCCTCAGGTTCCCTGGCCTGGTGCCGGGGTGGGGGGCGTGGCCTGAGGTCCCCTGTCAAGCCCTGCGGGGGGTGGGGGGGTACTGCCTGAGGTTCCCAGTCAAGCCTCACCAGGCAGGGGGTGCAGCCTCAGGTCCCCCGCCCCGGCCCCACGCAGCTTCAGATCCCTGTTGATCGCTCGTTATGGCTCGTTACGGGAACCCCACCTCTGCTGTGGGTGCAGCCATCTTGTGATGGTGTGATGGCATGAGGGTCAATTTGCATATTACCTCTTTGTTATATAGGATTACCCCATGTAAATGTCAGTTTAGATGTTTAAGATACAGAGAAGTGGCATAACCTCTCTTTTGCGTCATACTATGTCCCTTCCAGGCTGTTATCTGGATTGGTTTTTGTTGTTTCCTCATTTCCAGAATAGAGATAGTGATAAGGTGTCCTTCATCTGTGTCCTCAGGAGGTTTAAAAGAGATGAA